AAGAAAAGAGAGATTAGGGGGTGGTGTCAGAAAACTAAGATCCATACCAAAGATATTTTTTCTTATGGAACATCCGGTATTATTTATTTAAAATTTTTGGATTTCTGGACATAAAATAAGACATTATTGTAAGGGTTTGAATATGGTCTAAAGCTTGGTTTTTGGAGATATCTAAAGATATTAAATATGCAATGCTATAATAAAATTTTGTCAACACCTTGTACATTACTTTCAGAAATTAATTCTGGTGCTGACTTTTAAGCCAGAGAAAATAAACTTTGGCTAAAAAATTTGATTGCTTCCTTAACTGTATACAGAGGTATCAAAAAATTGCTGGTCTATTTAACTATGTATTTTAATAAAAACTTATTTTTTTTTTTTTTTTTTTTTTGTATTTTTTTAAATAAAGTAGAAGCAAAGTTTTACATACTTCTTCTTATAATTATGAGTTTCCTAATTACTATCGTGGCTCAAGATTTTGAATAAAAAGCGATTTATTCAATAAAACTGTAATCAATATGGCTGATGTCACAATGATGGTAATTTTTTGGTAACGACTTTAGTAGCTATTTTCAAAAATCGACATTAGTTTATGGACTTTTAATTTAAATTTTATAAACAGTTTATTTTTAAATTTTATTGTTACCTACAACAGTTTTAATAAGTAAGCATTTATTATTTTGGTCCAAGAAAAAATAAAGAAAAAAAAAAAAAATTTGATTTATATTACGATGACTTGTAGATATATTGGATTTTATATAAAAGAACCAATTGAGGCAAATTCATTTTCTTCACTTCCAACGAACAGGTTTTCTGCCTAATATTTTTCATATCAACTCTGGCGAAATAGGCAAAGTAATTTTAATAAAAAGAACGCTTATCAGGAAGATTCCATTTGGATATCTTTGAGCAATGCAAAGCCCAACAAGGAGCCAATTAGTTCCTCAACAAAAAAACAAAATCACTATTAACATAATGCATTCCCTTCCGCAGCAGATACTGCTTTCATTTTTCTTGATAAAATAATAAATATTTACTTATTAATATTATGCAGTAAATTAAATAAAAATAACCTGTTAAAATTTAAATATAGTCCATAAGCTAATGTACGATTTTAAAATAGCTACTAAAGTGTCACTAGAAAATTGCATGGCGACACCAGAAACATCTGATTACAATTTTATTGCAAAATCGCTTTTTATTCAAAATCTGAAAAAAAAAAAAAAAAAAAAAAAAAAATAAGTTTGCAAAAAGCAATTTAAAATCTGCTTCGACTTAATTTAAAAAAAATACATAGTGTTGTATTTGGAATAATATGCGAAGTTTTTATGTAAAATAAATAGTATAAAAATAGACCAAGCAATTTTTGATACCCCTGTATACATTTAAGGAAGCAATCAAATTTTTTTTTTTTTTTAAAGTTTATTTCTCTGGCCTGAAAGTCAGCACCAGAATTAATTCCTGAAAAAATAATGTACAAGGTGTTGACAAACCTTTTTTATTATAAGCGAGTATATTTAAAATATACTTAAAATATCTCAAAAACGAAAGCTTTTAGAACATAATAAACCCTTACAATAAATGCTTATTTTAATAATTCCAAAATCCAAAAAATTAAATAAAATAACCGAATGTTCCATGAGAAAAAAATATAACCTTTGGTATGGATCTTAGTTCTGACACACCCTGTACATTTCAAATAATTTTAAAAATTATCACATTGCCTTCCCACATATACCCATAAAATAGTTTGTTTATACATGTATTCCGTTTTGAATGAATTTTCCCGGAGGCGAATGAAGGTGCGCCACCCTGTGAAAAAGAAAGAAAGTTTATATTAGAAGAGAATTAAATAAACTTCTAAAAAATCTGATTTGAGTTGGATTATTTAAAAAAAAACATAATTTGCTTTAATATTACGAGTACTTGAGATTGTTTAAATCATAATATAAATAGAATTATAGATATAACATTAAATCATACTTAAATAGGAACTACGAAACATTCATTCTAATTCAGTCCATGAAACTTGTGCACGGTCTCAAGAATTGACTGTTGGAGCAACAAATCTATGCGATTCTCAGTAAAATCATCTGCTCATTTATTATCACTCTGATTTAGTCACTCTAAACCGTTGTTACTTACACACAGATGTTCATTTGGTGGACTTGTGAAATTTAAACGGCGCGCCATAATTTTTCAACCAAAAAGGAAGCAGAGATCACATTTTGATATATCAATACTAAATAATTTTACATAATATATTCATGGTTTTTAATATACTGAGGAATTGTGTCATATTTCTATATGTTTTAATCTAGAAAGACGTGTAGAAAACATGTTTTACTTTAAATAATTCTGATTTTTACACATTTTTACACTATTTTTTGGTCCGTAAAAAATACCAGGTATTTGCCGAACCCCTCTTTCTCTTCCACGTGAGTTTTCAAGGGGGGGGGGGTCAAGCCAAACTTTGGCTTGACGCCTCCCCATTGATTCTCTCACGTAATGGACGCCCCTTAAGAATATATTATCAAATTTTATTTCAAATTCATAACTAGTTTATCTATGAGACGCAGTTCTTTGTAAATGTCAATACGTACAATGGTAGAGAATAAAAATCGTGTAACATACCTGTTTTTGATATTTTAGGGTTCTTACAGATGTGGAGAGTGTGAGTATGGCTATTACGGAAATCAATCGGTAGGTTGTCATCAAGGGGAAGGTTATTGTCGTAGTGGAGTTCGATGTCATAGTAGAGCCGAATGCGTTAGTCTAGGTAAATAAATTAACATTACAGCACACATATCTTAAATAAATACTCATAGAATAAAAAAGTAATGTTGATAATATGATTATAAATTCATTGTAAAAGAGTACAGATGTCCCATTTTCATGTGTTTAATGGGATTTCTCTTTTATGAGTAGAGATACAAGTTTTTCACATCACTTTTCTACTATTTTATGATACTTAACTTCATTCAGAACGTAGCAATTAGTGAAATAAATTAATGGTTTCAATTAGCGTACAAGTTTGGTTTGGTTGCGAGGTACTGAATGAAGCTTAAGGACGACACACACAATCTGTGCACTGGAGTTTTATAATAACTATTGCAAAAGCAAAAATATTTTATTTTTCTAGGTGGCGGTGAATACACTTGCCAGTGCGTCACAGGATACGCTGGCAATGGAGAATATTGTGCATTTGATCGTGATGCAGATAGCTACCCTGATACAGAGTTGCCATGTCGAGAAAAACATTGTAGACAGGTAATTTACTAATTTTTACCCAAAATACTTACAATCTAAATAAATGTTACAATAGAAAGTTATTTTCAATTTTAGTTCTGGACAATATTTTTATTAATTATTTATTTTAGGACAATTGCCCACACACTCCCAATTCTGGACAGGAGGATACCGATGGTGATGGAATTGGAAATGCTTGTGATCCAGATCCAGACGGCGATGGAATTGAACGTGGTGTAAGTTAGAAAAATTCAATGTGTTTGGTATATTGTTATTTATGTTGCTTAATAACATTGCAATGACTGATATAATAGTAAAGTTGACTTTCAACAAAATTTTATTTAATATTCGTAACTAGTGTATCTATGAGACGCATTTCTTTATAAATGTCAAGACGTATAGTTTTGCAATAGAAAAAAAAAAGTAAAACAGCATTGTATAGAAATCATATAACGTTTTAATTTTTTAGTAGACAAATCTGAAAAAAATAAAGTTGCTCTTTTATTTTTATATTGTTATGTTTCAGTGAAGAAATAATCCCTCACATACTTACAGACCTTATTTACAGTTTACTTTGTTTTTCAGTATAATTTTATTAAAAAAATACAGTGATTGCAGTTGATAGTTTAATTTGGTTTGAAAACGTAGATTTCCCAGGAAATTACAGTCAACGGGTGTCATTTTATTGAAAAAAATTGAAACTCGATAACAATAATAGTGTCATCAGCAGATGATGATTTTTTTTAAAACTATTAAGTTGTTGACATCATCCGCTGATGGTACTAACATAGTTAGAGAAACATATGTCTAAAGTTTAAAAATAAAATATTTTGGTAAATTTATGTACGTAATTTGTTATTAAAAAGTATAGTAAACTTTAGATGTATTAACTGAGCCAAAAAATGTAGTATCTTAGGAAGACTTAACTGTTTGGAATATATTTTCTTGCTCCTGTTTTAAGATAATTCTTAAATAGGTATTAGAAATATATAATTAACTTTTCTAACATGTATATTTTTTTAAAGGATAACTGCCCTCTTCATAGAAACCCCGACCAACGTGATTCTGAAACAGATCCAGATAGAGTTGGAGATGTGTGTGATAACTGCCCATTGGTTCCTAATCCAGATCAATCAGACATTGATCGAGATGGCTTAGGAGATGTCTGTGATCCTGACATGGACAATGATGGTAAGTTTTTCTATCTGACAAAGAAGTTACATACGATACATACATTTCTAAAGAAATACATACAATCAACCACCAAGTGTACTGTTTTCACACACTGATAACGTTTCATTCATATAATTTATTAATTTTATAATTATCTTTTCTGTAATTTCAAACTAATGAGCATTTCTTTATTTGCAGGAATCAGAAATGAAGATGATAATTGTCCAAGAGTAGCCAATCGTGACCAAATCGATAGTGATCGCGATGGCCTTGGAGATGCTTGTGATAACTGTCCACGAATTTACAATCCCCGACAGGAAGATTCCGACGATGATAGAGTTGGTGACCTTTGTGACAGTCCAGAAGATACAGATAGGTAAATAGTATATAGAAAATGTTAACACAAAAATTGTAAACGCTAAAATTTGCAGAAGTTTGATCATGAGTTTGATTGCAAAGAATTTGATCATGCTACTATGCTCATTACTTAGTAATGTCATGAAGTTTATTACCAGCAACTTTAAAATAAATATAGATTTTTTCTAAACACTTAAATATTATTGAATATTTTAAATCTTATATAAACATAAACTCACCGGCAAAAAAAACCGGCCTCTAAAAACTAGACCCAATTTCAAAGTTGGATTTCTCGCGAACCACTCATTAGATTTTGATGATTTTTTTTTGAAATTGTAAATTAATTCCTTTTTAACGAATGCTACGTCAGAAATTTTTATTCTGAATTTATTTTGAGCATATACAGGGCACAACAATAAGACGAATAAGTTTAAATTTTTTTTAAACAATAAGTTTTTTGCCCGAACTTTGTAACACCCTGTAGGGTGCAGCAGCGGTAGTAGCTATTGTTAAATTAAATCACATTGTAGCCTCATCTTTTGTGAGCATTTTGTTTTTTTAATCACCACAATATCTCTTTTTGTATTGGAGATATGCTGTTTTAAAACGAACGTCTCGGAAAAAATGCTTACAGGGTGTTAAAAAAATCGTCTTATTGTTGTGCCCTGTATATGCTTAAAATAAATTCGGAATAAAAATTGCTGACGTAGCATCCGTTAAGAAGGAATTAATTTACAATTAAAAGAATCATCAAAATCTAATGAGTGGTTCGCGAGAAATCCAACTTTGAAATTGGGACTAGTTTTTAGTGGCCGGTTTTTTTGCCGGTGAGTGTATTTTTACATATATTTAGGGATGGTGTAGGTGATGATAGAGATAACTGTGTTCACAAGGAAAACCCTGATCAGAGTGACATTGACAGGGATGGGGTTGGTGACGTTTGTGATGACGATATTGATGGAGATGGCATTGTCAATCACAGAGACAATTGTCCATTGGTATATAACCCGGATCAGTTGGACACGCAACGTGAGTATATGATTTCTAAAAATTTAATAAAACAAAGCAGTAATTCTTTGAAGATTTTCGAGATATCGATTTTTGAATTCAGAGTTCGACCATTGTACACCAACAACACAACTCAATTCCGCTTATATTTTTTTAGCAAAAATTCCAGTGTTTCTAACTTGCACTTAAAAATTTTCAAGCTAGAGGGAAAATTACAACGACTTATTAAAAAATAAACAAATAAAGTATCACGAGGCGTAATTAAATTGTAAATCATAAAATTGTACAAAACGACAAATCTGCTATATCACCTTCCACGTCTCTTAGCAATTTCTCGGTTTATTTCATACATTTGGCAACGTGTTTACTGTTCTCTCTTTGTTCAGTACATTATAAACGCATTGTACTCTTCTTCTATACGGAAATTTCGACCCAAAATTAACCTTTGCCAGTCCTTAGTTAGGCCAGTCATTTAAGACGTCCCACATTGCAAACGGGACTGTATCTACTAATTTTTTATATATTGTTAGGACCCATGAGATTAAGTTATGCCCAATTTTGCAACCCTCAAAACCCTGTGCTACTCTCGTGATACTAAAAAAACCTCAAAATTTTGGTACTTATTTCAGTTTTTTTGAAAAAACTGTATTAAGAAAGCATTTTTCAAATTTAATTGTTTTATACTTTTATAAAGTCAACTAAATTTCCTACAATTTAAGCCCAACCCGAACCCTCTAGGCCAATTCGTTGTTCAAATACAGCCAATCAAAGATCGGCAATTTTTTTGAAAAACTAAAAATTTATGAGTACGGTCACATTCCAAAGCACGTATCGGCTAAACTAAGAAAAATAAGAAAGAAATAGAGTTGTGGAGAATTTATTCAGCTTTAATTTGATGTAAGAATGAGGCCGCTAGGCATCGTATTTTGCTCAAAAACCTAAATATAGTAAAACATCGAAGTTTGGGGGGTCTCATGAAAACATATTTTATTAAACGTATTTAAAAATAAACAACACAAATATAATATGTATAAACTATAAAATATAATACAAAAGACCTACTTTACTTGGTCCTCTTAGAAGGACTGGGCCCCATCCATTCTGGATCAGTCCGAGAGGGGGGAAGAGGAGGAGGAAGGACATTCTCTGACGATGGAGGTGGGTCCTCTTATGTTAAATCGTTCAATTCCTCGTCCTCCTCACCCAATATGATGGGAGCAACGTTGCTGCAGCTTCGCCCTTGGCAAAAGAAACAGAGAAACACTTCAGTCCTGCTTTTCTGCAAGTGCAAGAAGGATCCTGCACTTGTACTGCTGTTGGCTGCATAGGAGCAGCCTTTCTTGCATCTGCTTGCAACCATCTTAAGCAGGTTTTGAGGGGCGGGCTCTGCACGCATAGTTATTGGCATAAGACCCTGTTGACTGGTGGTCCATCTCCAGTCGAATGGATTTTTCTCGACCCCCCCCCCCGCTGTTCAGCGTGCCCTGATCTCCTCCATAGAGGTTCAACAAAATCTTCTCGCCAGCATTTCCTACTTCTTCCTGCGTCGAGTTTGGATCAAAGAAAATGGTGGCGAGATCTATCCAGTGGGGATTTTTTTTGTAGACATTCGCACCACTTCATTTTGCCTTGCCAGAAATGAGCAGAAGTGGTGTCACACCCACTGATTGCATGCAGAAACAAAACCATCTCTCCTGGAAGCTGAATTTTTCCGCTTAAAAAGAATTTGCCTCATATTGAGCGCACTCATATCCACCTCTACCCCCTTTCTGGAAGTGGAGGTTTGTTTGTCCACAGCACAAGTCATTTAGGAGGGCCAGTAAATCAATATCCTCCCCCATGACAAAAACTTGTTCGTACGATGAACTCTTGGAGAGGGCAGTTCTCACTATCTCAGCATCGGCGTATTCTGGTGATTGATGTACCTCGATACCTTGTATCTCAAATTCGGTACACATCATGCTGATCAGTCGGTGTTTGTTTGCATAGGAGAGCACTTTTGCTTGAGGCACTTTGATGAGCACTTCATCAAACAAAATGTCACCACAGGAAAGAGAAGAAGATCGCCGCAGACGTTCAGCTGATTTAGTGTTTTTCATAGCCGCATCTTCTAGGTATCCATCAAAAACAACTGCAACATTTTTACCAAAGTTGTTTAAAACGTTGCTGACGTATCCAGCCACAATATCTTTGACGAATAATTTCGATGCCAGCCTACCAAAACGCCTTGTTTCCTGGGATAATGTTTTTAGCGAGCATTGTAAATGCTGAAAATAGTAGGAAGATTTGGTACCCCTGCGCATGCCTTCTTCGGTGAACAAGGACAACGGATATGGTGCTAGCTCATAAGCAAAATGCTGCTTCAATTGCTCATCGGATTATTTGCAGACCCTCTGGAATATGGTGAGAGGATCAACATTAACTTTTTTATCCAACACTTTCACAGAGGTGGTGACTGATGCCAAGGTCTTCACTTTTCGTTTTTGAGGAAAATACGTCACCTAGCGGCCCTTTTCTTACATCAAATTAAAGCTGAATAAATTCTCTACAACTTTATTCCTCATGACTTTCCTCTAGAGCCATTAGTTTAGGCGATACGATATTTTTAGTTTTTCAAAAAAATAGCCGATATTTGATTGGCTGTATTTCGACAACGAATTAGCTTAGAGGATTCGGGTTGGGCTTAAACTGTAGGAAATTTAGTTGACTTTATAAAAGTATAGAACAATTAAATTTGAAAAATGCTTTCTTAACATAGTTTTTTCAAAAAAAACTAAAATAAGTACCAAAATTTTGAGGTTTTTTGAGTATCACGGGAGTAGCACAGGGTTTTGAGGGTTGCAAAAATGGACATAACTTAGTCCTAACAATATATTAAAAAATGGTAGATACAGTCCCGTTTGCAATGTTTGCCTTTTTAAATGTCTTAGATGACTGGCCTAAGTATGTATGTAAACCGTTCATAAAATAAAGCGACAGCGAACGGCAACATTGTTGGGTATGCGAGTTGAATAGTGGGACGTAGAAGATAACTTACGGGATAGATACGGGACAACACCGGTATCAGGTCTAAGGAGAGACCAAGTTAAAGAGGTGGAGAAAATGGAGACAGATCCTCCAGCCTCCACCTCTCGGGTTCCTCAACCGGAGGCAAGCTCCTCGACTGTGAAGAGCGGCACGGAGGGCCAAACTCCAACCGTGGAAGGGTGTGTACCCTCGGAGGAAGAACTGTTGTCAGAGGAAGATGGGAAATACCCTATCCCCTCTACAACAGGGGTATGATGGGTTATAGATTGTGCGATACGAACCAATATTCAAAAAACCGTATATTCAACCACAAATCCCTCCAGAGCAAGCAGGATTCACAAGAGGTCGAGGAACGCGTGAACAAATTTTGAATATCCGTCAGATTATCGAAAAGGCCCGAGAATTTAACAATCCGCTCTATATTTCTTTCATAGACTATCGAAAAGCTTTTGACAAAGTCAAATGGTCAAAACTATGGATGGTTCTTAAAGAAATGGGCGTGCCTCTTCATTTGATTTAATTGATCCAGAATCTCTATGTAAATACCAAAAGTAGAATTACCATCATGAAAACTTTGATACCCTTGGAAGAAATGAAGCCTTAAAAGGTACATACCCAATTTCACAAAATTGAAAATATTTCGAAAACGGTATGGTTTAACTGTAATAAACCTTAATCAAATTTACCTTTATTTTAATCGTAGAAACTAAAAATGTAATAATATACAGGGTGTTCCATTTAAAAAAATAAATAACTTCTCTGTATCTTGTAAAATTATTTTTAAATTGTACCTCTAATAGTCCTTCATCGAACCCAAAATTTACAATTTGTAAAAATCTCATCGTTTAGCTACAATACTCCGTGTCGTATGTGGTGAACAACCCTGTATAGAGCGAGTCAAACTAAATGTATTTTTCACCACTTTTTTAAATGGAACACCCTGTATTTGGTATAATAATAGAACAAGGTTTTATTTGGTTTGGTTTGGATAGAACCTGGTTTTGTTTAATCTTTTGGTTTTATTAAGCACTTTCTATGCCTAACATCAATATTTAATGAGAAAATTGTATTTTTTATATATAAGACCATACCTGACTTTTGCTCTTTTTTGTTCAAAGGTAGGCGTTTATTATTAATAGCGTCAATCCTATCTACTACAGTGTGGCATATCTGTCACATAATATTGAATATTACTTAAATTATTTTTACTATTTACTAATCTATCACTTTTAAAGGTAGCTCTATCTAAAATTATTTTTTTACAAGTGCCGATGGTAACTACGAAGTAACCCTTATGACAAAAGCGACCTTAAAATATACTGGAGATGTCGTCTGGAAACCTCCATCAATTTATAAATCATCCTGTGAAATAAACGTTCAATATTTTCCATTTGATGAACAGAGTTGTTTAATGAAATTTGCTTCTTGGACATACAATGGTCTTCAGGTAAAAACTATTTTATACAAATGAATTCACTTTAATTATTTCTTATCCAAGTATGTTCTACTGGATATACATTTCAAATAGTGAAACAATTACGATGTCTTAGACTTACAAACATAATAATTAATTAATATATTATATTTTTATTATACAGGGTGGCGCACCTCATTCGCCTCGGTTGATTATAAACGGAAAGATGTAGAAAGAAAATATTTTATGAGTATATGTGGGAAGGCAATGTGCATAATTTAAAATTATTTTGAAATGTATAGGGTGTGACAGAACTAAGATCCATATCAAAGTTATATATTTTCTTGGAACCCCCGGTATTTTATTTCATTCTTGGATTCTTGGACATAAAATAAGGCATTTATTATAAGGGTTTAATATGTCTAAAAGCTTTGGTTTTTGAGTTATTTAAAGATACTTAAATATGCATGCTATAATAAAAAGGTTTGTCAACACCTTGTACATTATTTTTCAGAATTAATTCTGGTGCTGACTTTCAAGCCAGAGAAATAAACTTAATACTAAAAAATTTAATTGCTTCTTTAAATGTATACAGGGGTACCAAAAATTGCTGGTCTATTTTAAATCTTTATTTTACATAAAAACTTCGTTATTTCAAATGCAACACTATGTATTTTTTTAAATAAGTCGAAGCAGATTTAAATGCTCTTTCAAACTATATTAGGGTTTCCTATACTCAGATTTTGAAGAAAAAGCGATTTTTCAATAAAACTGTAATCAAGATGGCTGGTGTCGCCATGGCAATTTTCTAATGACACTTAGTAGCTATTTTCAAAATCGACATTAGTTTATCAACTTTACCGACTTTATTTAAATTTATAAAAGCTTACTTTTATTTAATTTACTTACAATAATATTAGTAAGTAATTATTTATTATTTTATCAAGAAAAATGAAGCAGTATCTGCTGGCAAAAGGAATGCATATGTTACTAGTGATTTTATTTCGTGAGAACAATTGCTTGTTGGCCCGAAAGGTTCATGCTCAAAGATATCCAAATAGGAATTTTCCTGATAAGCGTTCCTTTGAAAAACTAATTTTCCTATTTCTCAGAGCTGATGTGTGGTATATGAAAAACATATTAGGCACAAACCTGTCGTTAGAAGTGAAGAAAATTAATTTGCCTTAATTGGTTCTTTTATAGAAAATCCAATATATTTAAAAGTCATCGTAATATAAATCAAAGAACTACTTCTTTATTTTTCTTGACAAAATAATAAATGCTAACTTATTAAACTATTGTAGATTAAATAAAAGTAGTAGAATTAAATAAAAGTAAGCTGTTATAAATTTAAATAAAGTCCATAAATAAATGTCGATTTTGAAAATAACTACTAAGTATCACTAGAAAATTGCCATGGCGACACCAGCCATCTTGATTACAGTTTTATTAAAAAATCGCTTGTTATTCAAAATCTGAGCCAGATAGGTATAGGACACCCTAATGTAGTTTGAAAGAGCATTTAAATCTACTTGGATTTATTTAAAAAAATATATAGTGTTGCATTTGAAATAACAAAGTTTTTATGTAAAATAAATGTTTAAAATAAACCACCAATTTTTGATACCCCTGTATAAATTTAAGGAAGCAATCAAATTTTTTAGTAAAGTTTATTTCTTTGGCTTGAAAATCAGCACCAAAATTAATTCTGAAAAGTAATGTACAAGGTGTTGACAGACCTTTTTATTATAGCATGCATATTTAAATATCTTTAAATATTTCAAAAACCAAACCTTTTAGACATATTAAACCCTTATAATAAATGCCTTATTTTATGTCCAAGAATCCAAAAATGAAATAAATTACCGGGTGTTTCATAAGAAAATA